TAACCAGCCCGGCTGGGATATGACAATACCAGAGCTCCATTCAGAAGATAAAAAATGGTGATTCTAAGGAGAGTGTTGGTCTGTTACTGTGCCTGGCATAAGTGTTTACCAACTTTGGCAAAAGTCTAGACTCTTTCATTGCCAGCTTTATTTCATTTTGTGCTTGAATGAAAAGAAATTTTTTATTTATGTGTGGAATACAAAAATTGTTTAACTTACTCAGTATTTCCTTTCTCTTTTAACAGCCCTCTTGCCTAAACAATCAACTGGTGTATGTGGACTGCAAGAAAGGTACCATGGTCCAGGTGGACAGTTCTCAGAGGATGCTAAGAATTGCAGACCCAGATTCAAGATACAGTGGATTTTACAGCATGCAGAAACAGAACAACCTACAGGCAGATAATTTCTATCAAACAGTTTGAAGAATTGCACCCTTACCAAGGATTAAGAAAGAGAGAAGAGAGAGAAAGAGAGACAGTCTGCTATTAAAATAAAACTAGAATTGTGCACTTGCTTAGTGGATTGTATTGGATTTGTGACTACATGTACAGCTCTAAGACCTTACTGGGATGAGCTCTGACTCCTGCAATGTGCCAGAAAAAGCATTCCCACTTTTCTTTGAGATAACTGACCAAGTGTTTTCTTAGAACCAAAGTTTTAAAACTTGTTAAGATGTATTTGCTTGTAACATAGCTATAGAGGTTTTTTGGGAGGGGGAATCAGGGGCTAGGGATAGGCAATGAGGTAAAAGGAAGCTTCATAGAAGAAAAGCTGGTCATGCTTGGCTAGAGAAGAAAACAAACTGCCGAGCAGCAGGATAGTGGTTTTCCTTGTTGCTCTGAAATTGCATCTGTTGCACCCAAAGCCTAACCCCAGATGAAAAAAATATGAAAAGGTCTGATTTTTTTTTCCAGCTGTTGCTACAGTACTATACTCCTAGAACAGAATTTGTCACATCACAGGTGTGGTGTAGCTGCAAATATTTTTCTATATGATGAGAAGCTGCAGTAGTTAATGAAATAGCAAGGAAAAGATTATAGCAGAAAATAAAGGGTGGGTTTATTAAGGATGTATAAAATTATACCTTGTGCTGCTTTTTGTTTTTATTTTTGTTTTCTTCAAAGCTGATTGGCTAGATTAGCCAGACTTCAGCAGAGTTAGCAAATGACTGAGGCCTAGGTAATTCCTGATATGAGCACTGGATCTTTTGACAGCAGTATTGAAGGAAGGAAGGAAAAGTCAAGAACACCATGCAGTTCCAGGGGCTTTTGTTTGTTTGTTTTGTCTGTTGTGGTTTTATTTTGTTATTTTATATCAATCTCTGGTTGTTCATACAGGAGAAGGAAAAATATTTTTGTTGGACAAAGCTCTTGCTTACAAGAGAGTAAAAAAGAGACTGTTTTAAGGTTGTTGTTTTTTTTCCTGTTGATGTTCTTATTTACTGGTATGCAGATTTAGAAACTACTTCCATGCTAGGAAGCTGCTTAATTTTAATTGTATATTACTCAAGCACCTTTTTTGAAGCTCAGAAAAAAAGGAGATCATGCTTCTTTAAACTTTAGCATTATAGGAATATTTATGTAAATATAATTATGCTAAAAACAACAAAAAGTATTTGTATGTTTGTGTATATATATGTATATACACATGCATGTAGGTATACATATGTATATATACGTGCATGTGTATATACACTATACATATATATACTGTATATATAAAATACTATGTATACAGTATATATTTTTTCTATTTTTTTTCTTGTTGAATGTATTTTTATCTGAGAGAGATTTTACCCAGAGCAGAAACAAATAACAGGCATTTCATATCAATGCTTAATCGCTTGTGAGTTTAGGAAAGACAAGAAAAGAGCATCTCATTCTACCTACAGTTTGATTTGATTTGATTTGATTTGATTTGATTTGAAAGTGTTTGTGTGTGTGTGTGTGTGTGTGTGTGTGTGTGCGTGTACACTCTTGTGTTAGCGTGTGTACAGTACGTGCACGGTTATAGCAGTAAGCGTTGCTCTTGCTACTTGCTACATTTCAGGGTGTTTCTTATTTTTCTTTTCCTGCTTAGCCTTAAAAAGGCTTTTTAATGAATGCATTGGCTAGAGACACTGATGACAATATACATGCAGCACTAATCAACTCCATAAAATAACACCATCAGCTCCTGGATTTTGGGGGTATTTTTCTTTTTTTTTTTTTTTCAAACAATTGTTTGAAACAACTACTGGAATATTGTCCACATTAAGCTGGAAGTTTGTTGTAGCTTGCCTCATTTATAACTCTGACTGTATAATACAATGTTACTTTCCAAACAGGTCTTGGCACTTTTATACTAATTACCCATTTGTGCATTGCCTTTTTTCTTTTACAAATGCTTCTCATAAGAGACACAGATACCCAGTATGCTTAATGTGAAAAGAAAATGTATTTTTTGTAAAGGAACTCTCAAGTATTGTTCTAAATACTTGGTCAGAGGTTGCTGAACTTTAAAACTGAAAAAAAAACCTAATTTATTATTATAATGACCTAATTTATTAATCTGAAGATTAACCATTTTTTTTGTTTTAGAATATCAAAAAGGTGTTCTAGCTGTTTGCATCAAAGAAAAAATAGGTGTATCATTAAGGGTCAACATTTTTTCTGTTTATATAACTTCAGTTTCCAACCACCAGTAAGAAAAAATGTGGTCTCCCCAGTGTTTTGTACTCAATCTGATGTTGAAACAGAGATGTTTCTGTCCAGTTACTGCAGAGATTTTGTCAAGACAAAACATCCATTCCTTGCATAAGAGTAAGCAGTCTTTATCCAGAAATTGTAAATGCTTGCTTTTGTTTTACAATCAAGGCCATATTCTGAAAATATTAGCAGGATATAGGACATGGTGTAAAATGGTTTTTTATTATTATTATTTTATTATTATTATTTGAAAGATATGATTTATCCTATGTGCTGTATCCATTACACTCTTTTACTTTGGTTCCTGTTGTGCTCTTGTAAGAGAAATGCAGATATAATTTTCTGAAAAATAGATGCATATGTGGCACTCGGAGTGCACTGCGGTTCAGCAGATTGCTTGTTTACTTTTTTAACTGTAAGGCGGTTTCTTGTAATTTGGCTCTTGGCAGCACAATAAAAAAATTTTAAACCTATTGATGTGTATTTTCTTAAATGTTCACATTTATTACTTCCATACACTAGTCCTTGAAACATTAGTTTATAGATTGATATTATGGTGGGTAGGAATTCATTTTATTGTCGTGCTGACCTGAGATTGGAACAGCTCAGAACACAACACACTGTGGGTAAAGAACAGTTTGCAGTTACAGAAAGTTCTGCATATTATACTAAAGAATTTTAACATTGGAGAGCTTTGTGGAATTCCAAATACTTTCAGCATTCAGTAAAGACGAATCTCTCAAATGCAAAGTTAGGCCTTTACTCTGCCATGGAGAGCATGTGATCTAGCTGTACCTGTCAGAAAGCTGTGCTTAATCATACCAGACTCTGATACAAGGTCCTATAAAAAGTGTGTGGAATCACGGTTTGTACTTCATGGACCTCCCGAGCCACAGATCATTTATTTATCTATTAGTCTATATTGTTTTTTTCTTCTAGTAAGTTAATGGACTTGATGTAAAGTTCTGGTATGTAACTTCCTGAGGCAAGGTGGTTTTCAGCTTGACTACATGCTGTGTGAACAACTTTTTTCTTTTCTTTCTTTGAAACCATCTTCCTAATGGTTTCATTTAATATCCCTGATACTGCATTCAAATCAGCAGTAGATCAGTATCTATATGCCACCCGTTAATTTAGAGACCTGTATCTTGTCTCCATTTTTTCTTGAAAAGCCGAATATACAGTTCTTTGGGAGCAGTTCCATACCTTATGGCAAATCTTGCCATTCCTTGTACTTCTCATTCATGTACTTCCCTGTACATGCTTTTAAGATGAAGGGTAAGGATTAGGGTCCACGTTGTTCAAAAATGATACTCCCTGAAATTAGCATTGTATTTACAGTTTGGATTGCTACTCCCACTGAGTTAATGTTCTTGCAGCGCTAGCTGCAATAATCCAAAATGCCCAAGTACTAATAGTTACTGCGAAGCCCATAATTGACTTTGGCTAGGATAGATCGGTATTTATTTGCATCCCTTTACATTTACATATGCTGAATTTCCTCTCCTTTCCTAGTTAGCTGTTTCAGCATTTTTGCTCCTTCCCAAGACTAAGGCTACACATGACATATGTGTTCTAGAAAAGCATCTTAAAACTCTGCAAACATTTTTATTTTTCATCAGAATGAAACAGAAAACATCACTGCATCCACATTTGAACACTCAAAGTAGTCCTGGTCTCCTTTGCCTTACTCACACTGAAAGGATCATATTTGGAATGCCTCTGCCCACCAGCGTTTGTCAGCTTGAAAAAGCTATAGCTGAGTAGGATAGAATGCAAATCCTTTCAATCACCTCAGTAGCATACAGATGCTTAACAAGGAAAGCATTTGCTCCTTGCTGTATTTCTTTCCGAACGTCAAGTGGGAAGTACAAAAAGAAACTTCAAAGAGGCTCAAATCAACTTCAGGAAGTTAAGCAGAGAAAATTCCTGGTATGTACATTGGGATATCAAAAGTTTATAGCGGCTCAAAAAAAAAAAACCACCAACTAGATAAAACCTAGATAAAAAAAGCCCATCATAAGCTATTGTGCGTAAGGGCACAATATAAAGCTAGCAAAGGACGGGCACGGGAGTGACAGTGCTGGTAAGAACCAGGTATCTCCAAAGCTTAGCTTCCCAACTATTAGGTGGCTGAATGAAGGCAACAATGATAGTGAGAAAGCCACGCAGCAGGTTACAATGAAACTACTGCAAATACTCTTTCCATGGCAGGGGCGTCGGTAGTAGGTGGTCTTTTTAATGTCTCTTCCAACCCAAACTATTCTATGCTTCCCCCTTGTGCCCGATGAGCTGCCGCTGCTCGGAGCGGGGATGTGTGTCAGTACGGACACCGATCTGCCGGTGCTGTGTGCGGCCGGGCCCCGCTGGCACAGCCCTGCCCTCGGTGCGAGGGCTGGCCCGGCTCCCGCCCCGCACAGCCGGGGCCTGTCGGCCCAGCCCGGCCCCGCCCGCCGAGCGCCGCCGCTCCGCGCCCGCCCCGAGCCGCGGGAGGCACCGGGAGCGCGCACGGCCGGGAGCGCGCGGGACCGTGTCCCCGGCTGCGGTGGCGGCGATGGCGGCGGCGGCGGCCTCGCAGCGGGACCCGGGGGACTGGCAGGACTTCTCGGGATTCCAGCCCTCCGCGGGGAGCGGCCCCGAGAGCGCCCGCGACAAGGGCGGCTGGGGCGGCGGGGATCTCGGGGCGAAGCTGTCCCTCTGCTTCGAGCCGCCGCAGGCCCGGGCTGGCGGCGGCGGCGAGAGCCGCGTTCCGCTGCGGCCTCTCACGGAGCAGAGCGCGCTGCAGGACGACGAGTGAGTGCGGGCCGGGGGGCGCGGAGTGAGGCGGCGGGGAGCGGGAAGGCCCGGCCCGGCCTGAGTGGACAGCGCGGCCTGCAGCCCTGTCCTAGAAAGCGCTGCCCCTGGGCCTTGGCGAACCCCGGCAGGGCTTGTGGGCTGCGGGAGTGGAGCCTTTCCCCGCCCCCGGGGCTGCAGCTGCCAGCGGCCGGGCCCGGGCAGGAGGGCACGTTCGGCCTCCGCGGCGCGGGTTTGACGTGAAGCCCTCCGGCTTTATTCCCGTGACGGCCAGCGAAGCGTGTGAGCATCCCTGAGCCTCTGACCCCGCCAGGCTAACGAGAAATACCTGTCCTGAAGTTCGGAGTGACCGGGGGTAGTGTTTGTTTAGCGTCTTGGAAAGTGCCCACTGTCTCAGTGTTAGTGCAGAAAGCAAATGAAGAACGAAATCTCAGCTGCAACCGTGATAATTGGGGGGGGGGGGTTTCCCCTGAGCAATAAAGCTTTTCTGATTCATGCTAATTTCCAGTTTATAACATTATTTTACAAATATTTATACTTCTAATTTCATAGTAAATTCAGTCAGCTTATCGTCATTAAAAATACTGCAGTTTTACTTTAAGGTAACAAAATTGTATGTCGTCCTCTAAGAGATGAAAAAAAAAAAGCCTGTCAGCAAGAGACTAGATATCTGTGGTATAAACAGTGAGGTGAGTCACGTTGGGCAGTGATGGGGCTCTATCTGCTCTTCTGTGTCTGGCTCGGCCATTCCTCTGACCTCCTCTGAGCCTTAGCTAGGCAACCACTTCAAACATCCACCCACAGCAGAAAGCCTGGAGGCAGGGCTTGCTGGGTGACGAGGAAGCAGCCTGCTCGCAGAGCTGCTCTGTTGAACTGGTGTACCAGGATGGGTCTGCGTGTGCAAGGCTCTGGTACTGCCACTGTAGAAACAGCTACGATTGACAGAGTGGTGGGCTAAACTCAGGAAGAGTACTTCTGGATAAAACTAAATTCTTTGAAAGTTTTAGTATAATTTGTGATGTCCGTTGTTCTGTCATAAAGGGAAAGAAAAACTGGTTCAGAATTTGCTACTCAGTCTACTTCCTTATGCTAATGTGCAGAAGGAAAACAGGAACAGCATTAGGAATGGAATTTATAGCTCAGTTCAAATTTTGTTAAAGGAAGGGCTCATCCACCCCCAAAAAAGATTTTGAGTATGATTATATAATTAGCATGGAAGCTGTCTCTTCATTTATTCTTCTATTTCACTTCTGTGTGTACATTGTTTAGAAAGGGAAATAAATTATGTTTATCAAAAAACATTTTCTCTTAGCTTCAAAATTAAAAATATTGTGAGTAACTTGCAGATGAATATTTAGGGAGGAAGATATAGTTACTGATAGAGGTATATGGTCATTAAGAATATGTTTATTGCTGATCAATTGCTGCTTATTTTAAGGTCTGTGTTTTTGTTCCTTTATTCCTCTCTCCAGGATTTGGAATGCTTTGACTGATAATTATGGTAACGTGATGCCAGTTGACTGGAAATCTTCGCACACCAGAGCTTTGCACTTGCCAACACTGAATCTTTCAGAAAAAGGGGTAAGTTCTGATCAGAAGAAGTACCCTCTTTGGATCTTTTTTACTCAGCAGCAAAATAAAACTATTTACATTTGTATAAAAAAGTGTCATTATTAAATGACTGAAAATATTTTTAATGCTTGCCATTATACATGAGAGGTTTTTAAAAATAAAAAAATCTAACAACCATTGATGTATGTTTGCATCTCCTTGGGTTGAAAAAATGCAGGGTTGGATGACTGCTCATTAGAGCCAGAGCATGATAGAAAGAAATGCAAAATGAGAAAGGGTTTCACATAAAATCTTTCTACTGTCTGATTCATGTTGGACACTGATGTGGGTAAGGGAGGAAAAGAGGCAGGGATACCCTGATTTGGTAATTCCAGTGTGGACTTTAAGTTCATCTCAATCTGCAGTCAGATGGCTTCTTTAACAGGAAAGGTGGCCCAGGAGACACTGAATTGCCAGAGTTTGTTTTGTTTTCCTTATTTAATGGTCTGGGGAGAGAATAGGGAATTAAGAGCTTCAGAGAGGTTTATAGAAAGGGTTGTCCTCCGATCTTCTTGTAAGTGGATTAAAATGTTTCAGGAAGAAAAGCCAGGAGGAATTCCCATCTCACAGGTCTTCTGAGGAAAAGAGTGGCTTATCTTTTAAACATAGTGAAGTTGAGTTACGTTGCAAAAATATCTATGTGTGTAACTTGAGAATAGGGTAATGTTTTGACTTCAGCCATCATTAGATAATCCACAGATGCTTTTAATGTGACAGGAGTGAAGATTGTTCTGCTGAAGAGGATATTTTTGGGGTTCAGCAGGGGAAGGTGCCAATTTGGAACTCACTTTATTGATTTGAGACTGATGTTTATCCTTTGAATTTGACTTGTGTTTATTCTAATTTTTATTAGAGTGCTTGTTCAGATTTTCTAAGTGGTTTTAGAGTAATTAAATCCTTACATTTTAAGTAAAAATACAAGCCCCCCCTGCTGTGACCTGGTGTCACTGAAAAATGGACTGGAAGACTAATGGATTTCTCAATAAGGAACTAAGTATAATATTTTTTTTAAAAGTTTCATATAGTTTTTGTAAGTTATTTGCAGGCAGTTATGAAGAAAGTACATAAAAAAGTGTAAAGTGCTGTTGCTGGATTAGAAAGAATCTTAGATGTGCTGCCAGGAGAGGGAAACACAGTTTATGGATTAAACATATCTCAAGGTTTTTCAGCTTTCACTCCACCTGGCATGCCTTCTGATGTGTAAAGCCTGTCCGTTTGGGAGCGTTTGACATACTTTTTTTCTGCTTCTTTGTGTTCAGCAGTATTTCTGGATATGTGACAGCACATATGGACCAGCTAGCAGCTTGTTTTAACTTTCTTACCAGGAATACTAACAGCTAAGCAACACTTCCGTGATGCGTTTGAAACTAATAATATGCTGCAGAAGTTGTGCTTAAAGCATTTCTCTTCTGTTCTAGTAGGAAAAAATGTAAGATGAATAAGGCTGATTCATCTGATCTCAGTTGCTTTACATCACAGATCTGCGCACACTTTTATACGTCTCAGACAGTGAAAGAAGCGGTTGGGTGGAAGTGTTGTACAAAGTGGTACAAGGAGCAGGATTGTGTAACTACTTGTTTGTTTTATTTTTGCTAGATTGCTTTTAAATGGGTTATTCCCTGGTACTGTGAGGATAGGAGGAGGCATGGTGTGGCTGTGTGGAAAGCCAGGTGTTCCTTTTAGCACAGGCTACAGCTGATGCTGTGGTGGTTTATTAGCTTAAACTGTCAGAATATATCCCGATAATCTCAAATATTTCTGGATGTGTCGGAAGGGGAAGCTGATCTTCTTCTTGATTAACTTACCCTTGCTTACTGTCCCATTGTTGCTGCTGTAATCCTGTATACATGGAAAAATATCTGAGGAAGGCAAATGTTAAAAAAATGTCAAATTGGGCTGTATCTGTGTAGTAGGTGAAGAGATATTCTTAGTGGAGCCTTGTCACTGCATGGTAATTGTAATTCAGATTCGGGGAAAAAAGTGGACATTTGACTCCATTCTGAGGACTGAAGAAATGTAAATTGTATGTTTTCCCCTACAGATCAGCTATCTGGGGATATTGGTTGCAGCTTCAAAATTAATCTGAAAACTATTAGGGTGTCTGAAGAAACTGGGAAAATTGGAGGAATTACAACAAAAATTGAAAACTGATACAGTGAGGCCAAGGACTTTGTACAGCCAGTCATAATGCTTGTAAATTGGCCCAAAGACCAGTAGAAGCAATTGAGTTAAAAATGTCAAAGGTTAGGGCTTGCAGCTCTGTGGGGCTTTTTTAGGTTGGTTTGGCTGGAATCTAGTAATAGACAATGGGCAAAAAAACCTAACAAGTTTGTAAATAAACTAGAATATATCACTGTGTGAGAGTAAAATATACATGACTAATTAAGGAGGGGATTTAAATCTTTTCTTTTACTATATGTATATGTTTGGTTTGGAAGGATGAGTATAATTTAGTGGTATATGTATGGGAACAGTGTTACTTTTCTTTCTTTTTGAAAAGACACTGAGGTATTCAACAATATATTTTTTAAATAATCTGGGGTGATACCAGTGTTCTGATACCAATTTTCAATATCAACTCTTCTTGTTTTTTTTCCATGTCTTTTATTAAGTGACAAAGTAAAACTGTAAAAGCACATAAAGTAACAGGTTTGTGTGATGTTAGATATTATAGGCAGGTTTTTCACCATCCACTGACAAGTGTCTATCTTCATTTAAGATTTAAATATCTACATTGGATTGACAGCCTTCCGTGTAGATATCTACGTGTCAGTGTGTATATGGTCTTTATATGCAGAGATTATTTAAAGAGTTTAAAGACTGACAGCTATTTTAACTTTCTGCAGTTGTAGTTTTGATTTCATTTTCCAGGTTATTTGACAGCAAGAATTATTGATTTCATTATTGCAGGCACGGAATCTGTTTCATTCTTAAAATTCAATATTAGTTTTGTTTTTTAAATATATACATGTGTTTTATACACTCACATTTGGATGTGTGTATATATATTTATATAAATACACCTTTTCATGCTTTTTAGGTAAATGATAACTTGAACCTTGACCTGTCAGATGATGAAGAGCTGAGAGAACAGTTGGATATGCATTCTATCATTGTTTCTTGTATCAATGAAGAACCACTTTTCACAGCAGAGCAGGTAAAGTGTTCAGCAAAGTTAGTGTTGGTATAATATGTTCTTTTAGTCTGTTTTTTTTGTTGTTGTTGTTGTTCTTCTTCTTCTTGCTGCTCATTGTAGCTAAGCTTCTTGATTGTTCTTTATTTAGGGTTGTAATAATGTGTGAGATATTACTATATCATTCAGATTTGAAAAGTATTCCAGTATTTCAGGTGAGGTTGATAGTCCAGGGTCTTTGAAATCTTTATGCATTTCTTAACATGAATTAGTCAGAAAGGCTACTAAATTAGGCGTAAGAGTTAAAAAGCAAAAATATTTTCAGAATCTTAGTGGTGTGGTAGAGTTTGTAGTTTTCCAGCATGACTGTATGGCAATTCATAGCTTCATGTGGCTTTGTTGTTAGCAAGAATTCTTTGAAGTTTTCACCTAACTTGAGAGCAGATCAGTGTTTCTGCTAGTAAGATTTCAGATTACTTAATGTTTAAAGACTTAGGTTCCAAACCCATGGCTTTACTTCACTTATCTTGAAAATTGCTCCTCTGAGTAAGGTTAATGATGGTCTATTAAGATCCTGCTTTAGGAAGCAAGCACAATAATATATTTTCTTATTATTTAAATGATTACCTGTGAACTCTGATGAAGAGGGTTATTAATAATATTAGAGACAGGATTGCTTGAACTGCCTCAGCTCTTTTTTACTGTGAGGTGGATCTCAGCAATGATTACAGCCTTTAAACCTGTAAAAGTTGATGTGTTACTTATTCAGATGTTTAGTTAATAATTTGTCCTGTAGAATTATGGTCATTTGTATAATGAAAAGTAAGCTCTCCACTCACAGAATTTCTGTTCTCATACTTTCTGTCTGGCTCAAGTCTTACATCCAGGGATGCAAATCAGCTTCAGGTTATGGTGGATCAGTTCGTAAAACTTCTCAGAGGCACAGTAGATTTTCAGGCTATTCAGGAGGGTTTTTTGGTTTTGTTTCTGAGGTTGTTTGGGGTGGGGGTTTTTTGTTGTTTGGGTTGGGTTGAGTTTTTTTGTTTGGTGTGAGATTTTTTGGGTGGGTGGATGGGGATTTCGTTTTGTTGTTGTCTGTTTCTTTGTTTTTGCTGGGTTTTGGGTTGACTTGGTTTTTGGTTGGTTTTCTTGGGTTTTTTTAGGTAGAGAAGTATAGGGAAGTAGAGGGAGGTAATTAGTTTTTGTTGTGTTTTCCTTCAACTGAATACTCAAGAAAGATACTGCAGCTTGCTCTTTAGTTCAGTTCTCTTAAGCAGAATCATGTGTACCTTCATATAGAAATAACCATGTAGTTTCAACACACTGCTTGCTACGTGATTATCAATTAACTGTGACAAGACACGGGTATTCTCAGGGAGCGAGGATGGAGAGGATGTCAGGATGTCAGTATGATTTTGTTGACTCTCTTCCATCCAGTCTTGGTGTTAGTTTCATCAAATGACAGGCTGTTTCTCTTCAGGCAGGAGGGTTTTCATAAGGGTTTTCATTTTTCGAAGGTGATTGAAGAAATAGAGGAAATGATGCAGGAATCGCCTGATCCAGATGATGATGAAACACCCACTCAATCAGATCGGCTCTCTATACTTTCCCAGGAAATTCAGACACTTAAGAGATCCAGTACAAACAACAGTTATGAAGAGAGTAAGTGATATTTATTAAGTATTTTGCCCTTATGCTTGTTGAAAATAGTTGAAAGGGTAAGTTGGCCATGTGTTTAATTCAAAGGAAGTCCTTCTTATGATATATCTGTATTCAAAAATATTTTCAAAATGCCCTGAAAGAATAGTCTAGATTAAGAACATAAATAGAGGACTTATCTTTGTCAGCTTTCATAACTAAGAATAAGAATAAAACTTTATAGAATTTCAATTTAAAGCAAATACTCTGAAGGTTGATACAGTGGAATGGGATTTCTTCATGGGTAAAATGATAAATTAGTAATTGTTTATTAAACTTCTGCAATTTTTGTAAAGTGAGACTCTTGATGCCCATAGGCTGTTTAAGATTAGCTAAAGCTCTTGGAAGCTGTACAGTAAATAAGGAAAATGGTGTTTCTTTGGTACTGTTTCAGTCACTGCAACATATCTTCATAGACAGTAACACAAAAATAAGGTGACCATTCCTTTTTTTCCCCATAACGACCATGCATATTTTTCAGAACTCCCATTCCTCTTCAAAAAGTTGAAAAGTTAAAAAAATCCTTTGTGTCTTCTACTCAAACTAAATCATCTGTGCTTCCCTACACAAAAGCAAAGAAATTACATGTATAGTTCAATTGTATTAGGTTGAATTGTATGAAAAAGAAACCTGTGAGTAACCGGTTTCATGACGAAAAAATTTGTTTAATGTATGCATTTGTCAAAATCAATTCTACAAGGTGATAGGGACACGAAGAATATTCATTAGACAATCATTATACTTTGGTCTGTCTTATGAAGTTTAGTGCTTTCTTTCCTGTAGTCTGGGTCATCAATATAAACTGTAGAAGATTCAGAAAACTGGCTGACCTCTTGGGGCATCACTTACAGTTTCTGCTATGTTTCAGATTTATGGAGGAGATACCATTTTCATGGCTGGACTCTCAACTGTCTCAACACATAAATTTAAGGAATGTGAAAGCAAAATGTATTGTGTTCAGCAGGGCTTCCTGCTTTCCTGACAGTTCCATATGTCTTTAGGTTTGGAGCTAATCAAGCTTGCTTGGTATTTCATATCATATTTATTTTGCTTTGTCTTGAGTCCATCTTTTCTGTTGCATCTTTATGGTTTAAAGGTCAGTCCCAACTGAACTGTGCCTTGAGTTACTTTGGCAGTTAATTTAACTTTGCTTCACCAGTTTCTCAGAATCTGCTTTCTTGTCTTTCAGGTCACTATTTTATTAAAAGCTCTTGTTACCTTTTTTCGGTGTGTGAAGGTGCTTCAGTGTTGGTCTGCATCTCTCTGAAATTTTTGCGGGTTTTTGCTGGAAACTGTCTGGCTTTTGAGAGGGTAGATCAGAGGTGTTCATGTTTAGGATTCAGAGCAGGAAATCAAAGCTTGTATTTAGTTTTTTCTTGGATAGGAAACGACACGTATTAAGGCAGTCCAACAAGTGAGTTCTTTAGCCTGCATATCTAAGCTTCAGTCCATGTGGTCTTCTGTATTTGAATTCCTCTGTCTTAACTCACCTGCATTAGCTGAGTATTTCCTATGTAGCCCTTTGTAGACTTTGATAATGACAATTGATCTATCGTAAACAAGTCAGAACTGCAGTTGGGTAGCCTGCACCTATGTTTTTGGAACAATTGTTTCTTAGGCTGTGAAGCTGGTTTTTAAGTGTTGGGACTCACAGGTGCTCTCTCTCGGTACTGTTACAGAGTTTGAACAGAGTTTAAGGCCTAAGCTACTCTGAAAAGGTCTCCTTGACAGAGAATTGTCTTAACAGGTTTCATCGCTTTTTCTTTAGTTGAACAACTGACAAGGAGCTTTCTCCAATCAATTTTCCCTGCTGTAATTTAAGAGAGAAAATCTACATGTCACGTATTACCTTTGATGCTTCTAAGAGCTACGCTTTTTTGTAGTTTGTGGCCTTATTTATATTTTTCAACACTTGTCTTGTCAGTGTTTTCCCTTACAAGAATTTTTTTAGACATGATATTTACTAGACTAATTTTATGAAACTAAATAATTGCAAACATCTCTTCCATGTCCTTAAACAGATTGTACCCGTCAGTGTAATCAGGACTAGCTGTTTCTCAAGTGCCATTTAACATTATGTTCTTTGACATAGCAACTGCTGGGACTTACTAGCTTCCTGGGTGTGTCAGACTTAAATTGGAACAAAAAGCAGCCCTCTAAGAATGTGCTCATTTCTAACTCAAGCAAGCCTCAGAACATTTTCTTGGTCATAATTTCACTCTCTGTAACACATGACCCAGTAGTACCTTTAAAATGCAAACCTGGACATTTGTTTTTCCCTTACAAACTGATATTTTACAAGCTTCTGATTTAGCTTTGACCAATTCAGTCTCGTGCTATCTCAAAACTATTAATGCTATTGTTCTAGGTTTTTGTTTCAGGCAATGCAAGGCCATGCTTTTGACTACATGGAAAATTTGGAGAATTTTACTAGTTTTTCTGCTAAATACCTCAAAAAATGTTGTCATAAAACTTTTGTACAAGCTTTTATTAATAGGCATGCATACCGTAGCAGTATCACCAAAAAGATTTACTTGCTCATAGAATATAGCATGTATTGCTATATTGCTATGGGTGAAAAACCCAGGGATTCTACAAATGCCAAAGTTTTGATTGTCATCAGAAAATATGAGGGCCTTTTACTCTGAACAGTGAGTGCAGGTGGAAAGTGATAGTTTACAGTGGTGTCGGAAGTTTAGCACTTCAGCTTCCTTAACTACCAACACTCTCTTCATATTTGCAGATTATCTCAGATTTCTCAAAAGTAAGAAAAAAGTTTAACTGTCTCGTTGCTAATCTTGTTGCCTCTGGGATGTGTTTATTCTTTTAGGAATTTTGTTTTAGAGTTTAGATATAGTTAAGAGTTAAATATAGTTTAAGAATTGAATTTTTTGTTTTGAGAAATTTCAGAGTACTTTTTTCTTTTAATCCCCGCAAGTTTTCTCATGCTTAAAATCTTGACAGATTACTTTTTATATGAAATATTTATAGGAGTAAAAAGATTGTCTGTTGCTGAATTAAATGAACTGCTAGAAGAAATTGAAACTGCTATTAAGGATTATTCTGAGGAACTGGTACAGCAGCTGGCTCTACGAGATGAGTTGGAGTTTGAGAAGGAAGTGAAAAACAGCTTCATTTCTGTCCTCATTGAAGTGCAAAACAAACAGCGAGAACACAAAGAAACTGCAAAGAAGAAAAAGAAGCTGAAAAATGGTAGTCCTCAGAATGGCAAACAAGAAAGAAGTCATATGCCTGGAACAGTAAGAAAATTTTTATAGCTCTTTATACTTTTAAAATGTGTTTTGTTTTTTCTGGATGGGAAGTAGTAGTTCTAGATTATATCAAGATACCTGGTACACCTGTTTCTATGCCTTCATTCACAAACAAGGCTTAGGCACTTCCTATTGAGAATTTTTTTCACAAAGTTGTATAATATTTTCCTCTTCTCATACTCAAAAAAGATTTCTGTAACTCTTTGCAAAATAGCCTGGAGGCAGCATACCTTTCTTGCACAAAATACTGTCTGCGGATGTACTGCTCTGTGTTCTTTTGTCAGTAGGCAAACTCATTTATCTGTTTGGTTTCACGGTGTGAATTTTAGTATGTGTTAGTCTCGCAGGAAATATTGTTGGTGTAGTTGTACAGATATTTATTGATTGTATTGGTTTTTAGGTAGGAAAAAAGTGAAAGTCTTACCCCAGATCTCTTAACCTGGGGCAGAGTTACTACATCCAACAAGAGACAGGGATAAGGCCAAAGTGTAGTGCAGATGTACAGGGTGGGGAGAATTTGTTTTACTGTTTACAGAACAGCAGCAAAAGGAAAAATGGAACGAAAATGTCTTTCAAGCGGAGTTCAATAAGAGGTGTCAAAGAACAAAAGAAATTAGGTTATTAGCTTGTCTATGCAATTTTTTCTTTCTTATCTGACTAGTATAATTTTAAATCATTTGCGATATTAATGTTTGAATTTTTTAGTGCCTCTTACAGAATGCAAAAAATGTGGTTTTGTAGATCTTGGCTAAGTCCCAGAAGGAATGCTTCAGATGGACATGAAAAGGTTTGGGGTTTGCTTTTCAAATATAAGGAATGAACATTTATAATGAAATATAAACACTTCAGAATCTATTCCTAAACTTATAAGAATAAGATACCTGTGATATAACCTAAATGGGGTTTTGATCTCTTCTCTATAATGAAAAATCTATGTGTGTAGCTAAATGTTAATGAAACTCTAAGAAAGTATATGTCTGGAAAACCATACAAAATTGTCATCACTTTACAAGAGCACAGTGAAAAGTTCCTTCTTGGTTCTCAGTCATGGAAAACCAAAAAGGGGTATTTTACCTAGAAAGAAAAATAATTGTTTGGTTTTGAAACTTAAGTGATTCATAAGCTATTCTAGTTAGTTTCAAGTTTAGAAACGTGAATGATGCTTACAAATATAACTGTATGTGGTCCCAGTATAAGATATTTTCATATTTGGTTGCTTCAAAATGCTGATGTGTCAGGTTGCTTTCTAAGAGAGAGTGAACAGACTAGCTCATAAGTAAGACTGTATGCTGCATTTGAAGCTACTTGAAAATAACTTTCACTGTCACTAGATACAGATTTGAGAGCCCTCTCTCAGAAGGAGGTGCAAGCTTCCTTGCTTCAACACTCCTTTTTTTTTATTTTTTTCTTATGAAAGTGCTGAGAATATGCATACAGAGAGTATGTTCAAGTAGCTTTGTAAAGAGTGAGTTTCTATTAATAAATAATGTATAAATTAGTAATTTTATTAACTATAGTGAAGTCTAATTTAAATACAAAGATTGGAAGTAGAGTTAAATTTTCATACTCTAAGAAAATGAATTCTCCTGTAGGTACTATAATTGAATTTGAAAGAAAATAGATATTTTAATTTTTTATCCTTGATACAGTCCTTTGGTAAATCACTTTCTTAGACTTCTAAAACTTTTACCTCTCTCATAAAGGCAAACTGGAGAGCAATTAAAAATAGTCCAGGCTTGAAGATACCAGTTTCCTTAAGTAGGATATCTTAAAAGGGTTAAGATGGCTTTGTTAACATTTATGTCTTTACTGACCTTGTTGTGCTTTAGAAAGCAAATGCATACTGTATTACAGCACATTTTATTCCCCCTCCCATATATATACACATTCAGATAAACATGCTGAGGCGTGGTCTTTTTACTGCCCTCTTTCAGCAACTTGACAGTTTCTTCTTCTTATATTCTTGTCAGTTGCTGATTTTTATATTGCATGCTAAACGTCAAAATGATTTCGATTTTTTAATTTTATTTTATTTCACTTGTCTTCTCCAGCAAGCAAAAAGGATTACAAAGTTCAAGGAAAAAAACTGTGATTGGATTATATACCATTTTTTCTTTACTTGGATTCCACAATTCTATGTAATGGAGCTTGAAATCAATATGGGTGTATTATTAACTAATTTTGTATGTTTTATCATATTACAGAAAAGGGGGAATTGTAATAATTGCTTCAGTTGTGGAAAAGGAAGCATGAAAGTGTAAAACATTTTAAAGAGGTGGAGACTGAACAGTGTTTCTAGTAGGTGCCTAAAATCCGAAAAATCTGAAACATTTGTATCAACAGTGTCTTTAAATGTATATCATTAAACACAAATGTTAGAGGAGATTTTACTGTGAACTAAACTTTCAGAAATCTGATTTTTTACATTCCAAAATAAAACAGCCTTAAAAGGCAAGTCTCGATTATCAGGTCTGCAGTGAGGTTTTATGTGAATAAATTTTGATGTAGAAATACTGCTTAACTGCCATTATAAGGTTTGCTTTTTAATGATGAAAATTAAGTAGATGAATGAAGAAACAGAAATGTGCTGAAATACATCTCAGAGCTTGTCTTTGTCATTTGTCTTTCACAGTCTTGATAAATGCTGATTAATAGTCCTCTGAACTTTTCTCTGTCCCTTTTTTTCTCTCTGCTGTGTTTTCACTACTTTTAGCGCTTCAGCATGGAAGGGATCTCAAATGTCATACAGAATGGCTTCCGCCACACGTTTGGAAACTCAAGTGGAGAGAAACAGGTGCTGGGCTATCTTCTCTCTTTTTTCTCATTCTTTGCCTGCACTTTCAGGAGCTGAGATCTTGAAAATTGACAGTAGTTGAAGATAAATGCTGAGACAGTTAAAAATAGGATAAAATGTAGGAATCTCTGCTCCTTCCCTGCCTCAGGACTCTGATCAGCCTTCAGTCTCTTTCTCTCCTCAACAGCTCGAGAAAGTCAGGACTTGATAGCCTGATGCACTGAGCTAATAACCTGTATTTCTTACCCCAGACTAAAAGTCTGTTTTGCCATGATGCATGCTTCAGATACGTTGCATGTCTGTAATAATCTAATATCTAGTCAAAGAATATGTATCAGGTTAGATGTAGCATTTCAGCCTTCAGCATTAACAACTTGCACACTACCCCCAAGTGAAAAAAGGTTTTGTTTTCTTTTTTCTTCAAATGTTCAGAGCTGATATATCTAAAAACAGAGTAGCACCTGGAAAATGCATAGGCTGTATTGTATGTCTTTTGCCTTTAAAAACTGTGTGATTTTAAAAGCAGTGAAATGTGTGCAATGCAGATTACCGATATAAAATACCTGAGCCATAGGCAAGATGTTGTTTGTCCCTCAGAGGGAAGATTCTTATGCCTTATTTCAAAATAATACTTGCCTGTTTATTTCAGAAGTGTAGTATGTATTTTATTAAATGCATTCTGTATTTTCGTGAACTGTTAATGCTTATGCTATTATTTAGTCTTTTGGCACACATTACAAAATACTGGTATTTCAAATTATTTAACAAATACCCACCCATTATAGTTTAGGCAGTTGTGCCAAAGGAGTGCATTAGAGTTAATTTTTTTTTTTTCCCAGTGAGAAATAATTTGAGGCAATAAATTGTCTGGTAATTTACAAGTCAAGGCTGATTAGGCTTTTGTCTGGGAGATGAGTGTTGTATCCTGCAGAGGACTTTGGGAGGTAAAACAACAACACTCAAGTCATTCCCAAAGCATGAGGTTAGAAATCATGGACTTATGCGCTTACTCAGGCAAGGGGTATGTATGAGAGTTTATGAATACATTGATCCAGATATTTGTCCCCAGCTTTTGGGATCTTGAACAGTTAGGTGCAGAGCTTACCTAACTGAATACATTATCTCAATACTAATAAAGATATAGCTCTGTTGTTTTTTTCTTTGCTATATATATACAGCTATTTACCTGTGTCTTTAGGCATTTTAAATATCATGTATTTTCATGACATGAACATATTTAGCTATGCCACCCCATCACACTTTTTGTTAAAAAACTTTCACTGCTTCCTTCTAGACATAAGTAGCATAATCATATATTAACAATAACACTGAGTGGATAATTCTTCCAGTCATTTTTTGAGTTTATTTTCTAATGTTATTCTTCATGTTGATCATACTTTTCCCCTGATTTATCTTATATGATATCCTTGTTAGTGGGGTTATGTTTTTTTTTTTTCCTTCCTATATCCTAAAGGATCATGGAAATAATATGAACTATAGTGGAGAAAGGTGGGAAAGATAATTAAATCTATTCTGATTTAGTTCCTAGAAATCCATTTTCTATGGCATTTGTTTTCTGTTTGGAAGATTTTTGTTTGACTGGGCTTTTTTGTCACATTACCAAACCCCTGGCCTTGCTTCTGAAATACTGGTGTCATCTTCTTATTGTATGAAGTTGCAAAGTAAAACAAGTATCAGATATTCAGTTTCTTAGTGCTACTCTCACATTATTAATTTGAGTGGTTTTTTCAGGGTGTATTGTCATTATAAACTCACATTCATGTGTTTTCTGCTAGCAGGGAAGAGTTCGTTAAAAATCTGGAATTGTGATTAAAAAAAACACAAGGACAGACAATTTTTTGTGTACCTGGGAAGGCAGAATTTCCTACACATAATGTCACAACATAAAGTTTATGGCAAGTTTGAACACTTATTTGAGAACTCTTTTCAATCTTTGAATTAAGTGGTATTTCCCACCTTCTACTACCCTCTTATAGTGCGTATTTCCTTTTTTCAATTTTAGCCCTTTTTTCTGTGTGTATGTTTGAGACATAAGTGAAAATTAATTGGAGTTCTTCAACATTGAAAGATAAACTTCCAATGGGCACTTCCTGTTCCCGTCTGATAATGCAGTTGGGAAAAAAACACCCAACACCCAACTGCATGAAAGCCATTGAAATGTTTGTAGCTCTTTCTGTGATCATATTTCCAGAAGAAAATTCAAGATAGTCATCTTAATTTTGATTTTCAGGCATATCAGACACTTTTTCTGATTACAAATTGTGATGGGAGTTGCTGCTTATCATCAAATCTGCTTCAAAAATTTAGGGGTCACAGATTTAATAAGTGGTCATGTCAGTCAGCTACACTTTAGTCCCTTTTTCATCTTTTTCATATGTTATCCTTCACACAGCAATTTATGGAATGAGTTTTTATAGTGTTATTATAGAAACTGATTGTTACAGCTGCAAAGCATGGATGAGAAGAAGAATTTTTTCTGGAAACTAGGAAAGAAATTGCTTTTTCTGTTTTTTTTTTAATTTTTACTATTAGGGAGGCAAAATAATAGGTGGAGTTTACAGGAGAAGAAAAACAGGGATAGATCGGTGTTTGGTCCAGTGAAACATGTCCTGGTAGTTTGTTATCTAGGTAAAAGGTAGAATGCCACATTTCTGAAGGCTAGAGAAGACAGAGGTCTGATTTCTGAGTTAGTAGATCCACTTTCATCTTTGACATTTACAGATTCAACAGCCTTATATCTATCTATCGATTCTGGTCATTTCGTTAAGTGGGCACTTCTCTGCTGATACTTGGTTGGTTACATCTCCTATAAAAGAGATTGAAAATTGACTGTTTCCTAAGAAGCATTACATGCTTTCCTCTGCTGTGCTGAGTGGATGTGAGAAAATGCCAGAAGAAAAGGGAGGGAGAAAAGCACCCTGTGTTTGCAGAAGGTCTTGGTGAGGTGTCAGTACATCCCGTACAATTGGTTCCTTTAAGTGACCCTGAACTGAGTCTGTTTGGCTTTAGGCAGATGATGTTTTTGAGCGCGAGGTGCACGATCCTGCTGAAAACATAGCAATGATTGCAGAAGTGTTTGGCAACACTCAAATCTCTTTGGCAAAGTGAACCTCTTCACCAGAGTGAGTTACACTCGACTCTCGCTGAAGTGCTGTTACTAGGAGAGGAGACCTTTTACCTTGTATGACATGTTTTCTGCTTGTTGCATGGAGAGCTACACAGGTCTTAAGTTGGATGAGAGATTGAGGGTTACTTTGCCTACTACCTTGTAGCTCTTAACCCATAATAAAGTTCCTGTTTAATTCTTACAAAATGAATTGAGGGAAGTTTATCCATTGGGGAAAATTCCAGTGATTTCAGTACTTTTGAAATGCTGACCTCTTTAAGAAGAATAAGCATCCATATAGGCTGCAAATTAAGATATCATCTAAAATGCATTTAATAAAAGCAATAGGGTTGCTTCAGAAATTTGAAAATTAATCTTGTTTGCACTGCAGGCGTGAAAATCTTGAAAGAGGTGAGAAATTTTTGCCTTTTTTTTTTTAAGCAGACAAGAATTAAAGATTTCAGTAAATAGAAAAAAATTGAGTTGGTTTGAAGCAGTCTGTTAGCACACTCAACTATTAAAATGGATAATTTAAATCAAATTCCAAATGGTGGGGCCTTTCATTAGGCTCACCTTGTTCTTTTTGGTTGGAATTGTAAAGCAGCAAAAGGTGAAAGTTGTCCATTTTCATTTTCTCCTAACTGAAATTAGGGGCATCCTTCAGACCTGGACTGGGACTGGGCTTTGGTCTGTCAAAATCTTTGGAATGTTTCATGTTCTTGATAAGAGTTAACCAGTAACTGAGAAAATCTTGCGGCTGTGTTGAGTTTGAAGATTTGTTTAGGTTTTTTCCCCGAATACTTCTTAGCACTCTTCTGCAAACCTGAATGCCTTACTTAAGGTACCTCAACAGCCTGCATCAGTTGTGCTCTGGAATCCTTTAAAAATGTGACTGTTCTTAGTTTCCCAGGTTACTTGAAGGTTACATCCGTATTTACCTGGACAGGTTTTTTATGTACTTTCTGGAAAGAATTACTTTCTGATTTTAGACACAACTCATGAAGCCTGCTTGATATTTCTACTCTTTTTTAAGAGCAAGTTTGAAAGCTGTTCATCTGCATTTATAGTGTTGTTTGAGGAAAGGTTGTTCTATGAGCTTTTTTTTGATTGTAAGAAGTCCTTTAAGTCTATGAAGGACTTCGGAGGGAGAAGAGGAAGGATTTCGCTATTGGTGTGCATAAGCTCTGAGGAAGAAGCCTAGCAGAGAAACTTTATACTGTAAACAGCTCCAATATTTTAAATACTTTTTTTTAGTGTTTAGCTGCATGGCTTCTCAAATGGCCACATAATTTGGAAAAAAAAAATAGAAGTTGGCTTCTGTGATAAAGGTTTTGGGATAGGAAAGGTAGAATCTTAATCTCTTGTGAAATATGATTATTTGTGGCTAACAATTTCAGTTGCTACAATTTTTGCAAAATAAAATGCAAGCAACAAAGTTGCATGAAAGGACCTTCAGTTAACTCTGGTTTTCATTTGACAGTACTTAACAACCGTCATTCCTTATGAGAAGAAAAATGGACCCCCATCTGTTGAAGATCTTCAAACATTAACCAAAAGTGAGCATATGAAGTTCCCTCACTGATCATTTCCTCTTTGTATTTCCAATTGTGTTGGCTGCTAACCATGACTCCATATACTTTTCTCTTTCCCCTTACCCTATGCCATGTATGTCAAGTTGCATGATTTTTAACCATACATTTCAGCCAGCTTTAACTGAGCCTTCATGGTATGTTGGTTTTCTGTTTGTTCATTGAAACCTTGAAGGCTAGAAACTTGCATGTATCAGAAAGTAAAAGTTCTCACATTATTTTGACAGCTGGGCCTTGCGGAAAATACTGCATGTCATGTAATTTGGCAATACTGTCTTGTAGTTCCCAGTATACCCCTGTTTGTTTAAACTTGCTGTGCTTTATTGAGGTTATTGTAATGACTTTGAAAAATTGAAGTGGATGTCCAGACACTTGTGAGTAGTTGCATAATGATTGTGCTTGATTACCTTTAAAATAGCTGCCTTCTCTCTGTAGTTTTGGTGGTTCGTTTGGTTTTTTTCTTGGTAAATTTTATAATTAGGAATTCCAAACCAAACAAGAGTTTTGACAATGCTTTGAATTCCCTGTTCTTCACATCTTTTTAGCCAGATCCTCAAAATTATTTATAAGTTCTAAGTTCTCTGGTTGTTTGGGGGGTTTTTTAACTCTAATTTGCAAGAAAAATTAGTTAAAATTTTTAAAAATTACCTACTAAGGTGATTTAATACAACAGAGCATCTCTAGGAGTCAATGGCATCTCCTTCATTTGAGGTTTATAGGAACAGTTTAAAAATAGATCAATGTATTTTATGAGATCTCAGTGCAGGGCTTTGGATCTAACTGTCTTAAGGTGGTTTTCAGCAGCACAGTTCTGTGATTCCACAGGTGGCTGAGATGGTAAAAGGCTCTTTGGTTATTTCCTAGAAAGAGAAAATAAATAATGTATAAATTCTGGAGTAAATGAAATATTTAAGCAGGAATTAAATTCCCCTTATTTTTCTACAGTAGACACCCTTAGCTGTTAATTCATACTTATTTTGTGACAAATGAATTTCTCATTTTTTGTCTATTCCTGCAGTGAAATTTTATCCTCTTGCCATATTTAAATTTCTGTTGAAAATATTAAGCAGAGAGAGACTAAAGCCTCCTGAAAACATTTTGTGTTGTTTGACAGTTTATTAACAGAATGTCTTGTACAAATGCATTGTAAAGAGTATTAATAGTATTGATTTCTGTGGGCTGGTTGTGGTTGGAACTTGATCCTGTGACTCCACTGCAGGTTTCTGACTCACTCTCTGCTGTTGTTAGGGCCAACAGTAAAGCAGGTGTTTAGGGCTGTTCAGTTGGGTTTTCTTTCGAAGCTGTATATTATTCCATGGGTATGAACACTAATGTCTGTCTGTAACATAAAAGTTGATATTAAGCACTTGTTATAGAGTTTAGAGTCTCGTGCGAGGAATTTGAAGATTACTGCTATTCGATATAATTCTGTAGTTTTGATTCTTTCAGTCATGTCCAGAGTGCTTTATAAAGGGTTGTCATTGTTTGTCATTATGGAGTAACAGACAAGCTTATATATGTCAAGTTGAGCTATTCCACATGCTTTCCTTTCTTCAAAAATAGGCAAGATGGACAAGATTGACTTCATATACATCACAAAAATGATATTTTGGCATTATTCTAAGCTATTGCCAAATTCAGTCATGTATTTAAGATTTTTCTAAGCTACAGCAGCTAACATTCACCATTTCAGGAGGAAAAAACCCACCAGTAATATTTTCATAGAATAAGTCACATAAGTATTTCTTCAGAAAAGCTTCATTGTTCCATGATTTGAGGTGAAGATCAAATATATTAAGTAATGGAGCATACTTTTGTGGCCTGAGATTCTCAGTCCATCAATAGTTGTTAGCACATTTTAGTTTTGGGTGTGGTAGCTTTCTTTTGGTGAGATTTTTTTTGTAGGGAAGAGGTCCTTTTTGTTGTTGTTGTTATGTCTGATGACATTTTATTGTAATAATTAACCACATGAAATGGGACTCTTGCATCCGTGTACTGTGGAGTTCAGTGAGAATTACACAAGGGAAAGGTGGAGATGTGATGTGTCTCATTCATTGTATCTTCTCATATTTCAATTAAGAGTTTTCCGACTAATCTGGTAATAATGTCCCTATGAGTAGTTGAAACAGCTCCATGATATTTATTTTGAGTGTTGTGTTTAATTTCTAAATATCTGCTAAATATCTGCTTTACTATTTTCTTACTTTAGTTCTACATGCCATGAAAGAAGATAGCGAGAAAGTGCCAAGCTTGTTAACAGACTATATTTTAAAGGGTGAGTGTGTTTCTTGGCAGGGATTTTATTTTATTCTAAATTAACTTAAAGTACATTTAAGGTGTATTTGAAAAGAATGATCCTACAGCATTCATGAATTATGTTGCCCTTCTATCAACATAACTTTCATTTATATTCTATTTTGTTCAAGATTTCTGAGCATACAGTTCATAAATAAAACATGTTTATTTTGTTTGTGATAGTATAATGTAGTAAGTATGCAGTGTATATTCAAACAGCTGAACGACAGCAGCAGGAGCAAAGAAATCTGGCTTATGAAGTTAAATGGGTACAACTTATGTTGTACAGGTTTTTCAGAATCAGAACTCAAACTGCATTTGCTATATGAGTGCTCATAACTTCATTTTAAGTGTTGCCTTCTGATCAATGGTAAAAATTATTTATCTATTTTAGTTGTTATTCCTTCTTCACATTTTATTTTAGAAGTTTTTGTATGAGTCATTTATTTTCCGGTATTATACATTGATGATATTAATAGAATTTCAGGCATTGAAAGTCACTGCTTGCTTTAGCTTTAAGGAGGTGTTCCAGGTAGCTTCCAGGTTGTTAAATTATTTTTAAATGTTTTTCTTCTGACTTCATTTTTGCCTAGATCTTACTAATGCTCATGGTTTTACTGCAATTCTTGGCATATAAATGATACCAATTTTTTTTAGTGTTTTATGTTTAGCATATGCATCAAACTCCCAAGATCTGAACAAACAGCTGCCTCTCAAATGTATATTACATTCTGCTTTTCATGTGCTGCAAAAGGTTTTCTCTTCTTTTGATATCCTGTTTTCCAAGTCTCACTATGTTTTCAAATATACAATCATTTGACTTAACTCCATGTGATTTTTAAAGGTTTTTGTATTTCTTACACAGACATTCTCATCTTACAGATATTTGACAGTACTATCAGGTTTAAGTTATATAGTGCATTGTTATTTAAGAAAATCTGAAAAGAGCTGAAGCTCTGACAGACTTCCTGTTGGAAGAGGTCAATTTCTAAGTTTTCCATAGGGTTGCACAACTACCACATACAGTAAGAATGCAGAGATCCTTTCAGTCAATTCCTTTGATTTTTCCATTGTTTACTTACCCTTTCTAAAAATTCATCTTAAATTAGACAAATGTATTTGCTAGTGAGCTGAGAACCATGTAGGATCAAAGTTTTTTTAATGGTGATGGCACTAGACTTTAATTTTGTGAGGCACAATCTTTGACCCGATTGTTGTCAATAATTAAAAATTTTTGCTCTTCATAATACATCTGGTAGAAAGTGATTGGATTTAATAGTGCTGTTTACAGTGTCTGCTCTTATTTTTAGATGTAGCTATCTAGAAAAACCGTCAGATCACTAGGATACTGAGAAGAAACTGGCTGCCTAGGGAAATGGAGCAATCTCCTGCAAAGAAGGCTTATAGACGTAGATTACAGATTACCTGAACGTATGTTTGGATGATTTAGGAAGCTTGAACTGAAGTTCCCTCCTGCCTCTGCATGCTTGTGACTTACAAATCACCAGGGATATTCTACTAGCTAGATGTGGCAATTACAAAAACATCATACATATGCAAGCACTGTTATCTCTAAATTGTAAAACACAAATGATGGGAGTATGAAGACTAATCACTCACATCACTCATACTGAAAGGAAAAGGCAGTTTCCCTTCAGCTATCATTTCCTTAGTGAGCAGGACCAAGCCTTTCTTCATCCTGTGTGGGTCTGTGTGCACAAGTGGTGGCAGGCGGTTGTACAAGCTAGGGAGCACAGAATTTTACTCTTCCTTGCAGTGTAGCCTTAACTGAGCTGTTGACATTATGTTAAATATTTATAACTCAGCTAACAGTGTTCCATTGTAATGCAGATTTATCCTGTGAAACAAAGTCCTCCAGTTGTTTCTGAAGTTATAACCTGTTTCTCATTTTCTGCCACTAAAACTTCTGGCCTGAAAAGTCAGTGAGGCTTTCATGGCACAAAATACTCCCAGCCACCTGTCTGTTGTCTGGAAATTACTTTTAAAGCTTGTTAAGAGGAGATTAGGTGAATTCTCTGCAATCACTAAGATTAACTTTTAGCTCAGCTTTTGTACCTGCAATTCCAACCTATTCCTTACATTCCAAAATAAAAGTAGTGACTTACTTTTTGAAGATTCTGCTGTACTGTAAAATGTCTTGGCAAGGTAAAAATCTTTATGAAGATTTAGGGGTTTGAATTTGTTTTCCAAAAGAAGTTCTGTATCCAGTGGTAATAATCCGTATGGTACGGTGGTAATTGTATTCATTTTACAATTTTCTCCTCTGTGATTCAGCTGTTGTCTTACATTGAATGGATTTTATTACTTTTTCTTAAGCATTAATCAAGAAATGAAATTTTGAAATGTGTGAATTATATCACCAAACATACTTTGTTCTGTTAAAATCTTTTAACTGCTTGTTCCTTTGAGGATCATTTTGTCCAATCTTACAACAAAAAAGCCAGACAGTGTGTTACATGTGACAGTAGGATATGTGTAGCTTTATGGAAAATCTGGTTATTTTGGCATTTGTCTGCACAGGTAAGTGCAGACAAGGTTTCTATTTTATATATATTTATAAATATATATATATTTTATTCTACACAGCAAAGAAAAAATCTTAAAAGTAAACCCTTAACGATTTTTTTAAAGCAGTGCTGTCTTGTTATTCTATGGTATGTAAGAAATTAAAATATGCAGTCTTATGTGGGTGTTGTTGCTGTCCACAGAATTATTAGTAAACTTTCCCAGATATTGGTGGCCACTGTTGAAAAATTACTTAAATTGTTTCAAAGCAAGAGCTGAAGAAAAAATATCAGGAAAAAGATTATTTTAACAATCGCCAGAGTATTGTTGGCACAATGCAATGGGAAAAATAAAAAAAGAATACTGTGAGCCTGGAAAGGTAAATGGAACCGTAAGGTTGAGCAGTAAGTGGTGATGTAACAGGAAATGTTACCACATTACTGGTGTTCTGATAAAAAAAAAAAAAACCCAAAAGTCAGTGAAATGAGTTTGTTTTCTTTGAAATTCAAAGTGTTTTGTAGCATTCACTATTTTGAATAACTTGAACTAAATGCCAAAATAATTCTGAAATTTGGATCATGTAGGAAGACGCACAGATCCCTTCCATCTGCGTTGTCTAATAGTTGCTATCTTCATTTAATAATGATTGAATAGATTTGTTTTGGCAAGACATGTTGGGCAAGAGCTGGAGCATGGAATTGAAACTTGAAGGAGAATTCTGCAGCCAGATCACCTATTGATCTTCCATGGATCATTCTTGTACTTTTTTTTTCATACCAGCTAATGCTTCTGAAATGCTGTAAATTGAAATCCTCAGAACATGGGATGTGCAAATCCAGTATAATAAAGAAATTACAAAGAATAGCGCAACTTAGTGCATTTCATGATAGGGAAAAAACCATATAGGATTATTAGGTTTGAAATTATTTCTGATGTTTGTTTTCTTAAAAGCGTCCTCTTTTCCCAATTTCTACTGCCCCCTTGTGTCCCCTAAAATGTTAAAAATACCATTTTTTTTCCTCATGCTTAAGTCCCTCTTTCCAGGGGTCAGTTAGCTCTCCCCTGGCTCTTTTCCACAGGGAACATTTCCTCACAGGTAAGTATCCTGAAGCCAGACTAAGTACATATTCTGTGTAGAGTTGGGTCCAACGCAGTAACTTACCTTCTCTTGTTCATGTTGCTCTTACTGAAGCCCAAATTATTTTCAAGGGAATTTTTTCCTTTTGTTGGGTTCTGTTTGTTTTTACTTTTCAGTGAACATTTCTATCCTTAACTTAACAATAATGAAAAGGACTTAGTGGTTTCCTTTGCAAGTAAATTTTAGTTCCTCTCCCACCAGCATATGATTCATGTAATATTTTAATATTGTATAGCTTTAGAATTAAAATAGATGGTAACATGAAATTGATTAGCATTTGCAATTGTGGTTAATTTTTTCTGAATATATTTTAATATATCGATATTGTTATTATATTTTATTGGTAGAGATAATGAAGTAGAAACTGGGATTTGAAAAAGAGTGTGGGAATGAATTTGCTGACAGGGAATGAAGTACCAAACCAACACTGAAATTCTTTATCTTAAAAAGCACATTTGTGGACTGAATGAATTAATTAATCATTCTCTGTACCTTTTCAAGGTTAATATTTTCCTTTTTGAAGAACACAAATAAGTGTAAATAATCGTGACATCCTTGAAACATAGCTATTATATAACAAAATATAAGTGTGTATTCATAGTTGAAATGAATGCCTTTGTAATCAGATGTGTCATTACAGTAAACTGCTATAAGATATATTTATTGATAAGCTCTATGTTCTTTTCCTTAAGTCTTGTCCTTAAACAGTAATCGTGACATAAAAATACAGTGCTACAAATAATATGCTATACATTACTACTTAGTAAAATGCATGAAATACCTAGTTTTGTTTTTTCTAAATGTAGATGTCATGAAAACAGTCATTTTCCATCTTTCACCTTGCTCTTTCATATCTGTCCTTTCAAGTAAAAACTTAAATATTTTTTTGTTTTAATAAAGCCAGAATTTATACCTTGTTCCATTTTTAAATTATGCAAGTATTTCAGATAATGAGGACATTTATTTTCTTGACATTGAAGTTTTTGTCTAATTGTTACACCTGACTTCTTTATTTGCTTTTGTGTTGTGCTAGCATTGGTTTGAAAGCTGGATTGCTCTGAGGTTTGTGTCTTACGTTGAAACAGGAATGAGAAACGTGTGAAGGACATGTCTTATCTTCCCACTGTGTGATTCTTGTACATGCACCAGAATTAGAAAGTAGAGTTAGAATCTCAAATTGTCAGTGCATATTTTTAAAATATAACTGCATGCGTCACCTGTTATTTAATGTTCTGTTTTCTCATAGAACACTTCAAAAAGCACTGTTTAAGACATGACCTTTAGTTAACTCATTTCTGGATAGTTAGTTAAAGATAGTGGGTTGTGTCACTTAATTACCTTTTGAGAGAGGCTGATAACTTAATTGCCAGTTTCAAAAGATTTCTAGATTTTACTGTGTTACTAATAGGGTAGAATTCAACATTTAAATATTTTAGTATATACATTACATTTTTATACAGACCAACTTCACTGATGTTTATCAAGATGTATTTGTGGTTCTTTTGCAGTTCTGTGTCCTACATGAAGAGGGCTGCCTTTCAGAATTAACCATGCTCCTTTCTGTGATGAGAAGCTTTCTGTGGATATAACTCATAGTATTTTTTCATTTGGCACTATACCTAAAAGAGTATGCATTTACCTCCTCTGTGTGTACGTGGATTTTCTGATCCTACAGTAAGTCATCTGGGCATGACAACTCATTCATTTTAACTTAATAGTGCAATGAACTGGAGCAGGGAACAAACATTGTGCAGTTTTACTTGCATTGTTCAGACTTTTTAAAGTCTATTTTTACATTGTATAGCATGTAGTAAATCCTCCTGCACATTTTGTTGTTGGAAGGAAAAGTAAACTTTGAATAGTGTAAATAAAACAAGGCTCGTTTCAAGGAATCCATATTTAAAAGCATCCTTAGTTCCTGTAGCAAAGATGAAAAAAGGATCGTAGCCAGACTTGGAATTAAGGATTCAAGTGAGTTCTCCAGGACGCATTCTGGGATGGTGTTGGTGAAAGTCAGCAATCAACACTTCTTTGAAAATGATAATGTTGGACTGTACAACAGTATTGTTCATAGATTAACAAATCCAGATGCTTTGGTCTGACATAAGTGATTGTGTGTTACCAATTCTTTAACACAAACATCTGAGAAATGTAATGTTTCATATTTCGTTTTATTTTAATTATTAATGTTCACATGGCTTAGATATGCTCCCATATTGCTGCTATAGTTTTACAGGTTTTATTAAGTGTTTGATCTTAATGAAAATGCTTCAATATATAAACATTTTAAAAGACAATATCTTTTTAAAAGTACATGTACAGTTTGAATAACTTGCACCTGGCTTCCAAGTTAGTATTATATTGAGACATTTGTTGTTGTGTTTCTAAATTTTACTACAAATCTCTCTTATAAATTGTATGCACTGTCTGCTCTGTGATGATGTGTCTGCATTCAAACAGATGAGAATGTATTTTACAAATCCTGTACAAGAAACATACCCCATAATCTCAACCTTAAATACTTGTCACAAGTAATTTTGCCAGTCTTAAAGATTAGATTGAAGTTTAAAGAGTACTAATAAAAAAAAAGAAAAAGGAACTATTTTCTAGGTTGAATTCCTATTGATTCTATACCCAGATTTATATACTGAATGTCTAAAGGCACTGGAATATAAGGTTCTAAAGAGATAAAATTGTGTTTTCTTCAAACAGTTTTTTCCATTTGAAGTCTTCAGGTTTTTTTGTTAGTTGAAGAGAAATATGCTCTTGAATACCTTGCATCACTTTAATGCTCAATTTTATCATCATCACCAAATACTATTTTGATCAGTAAAATATATTCAGTTTAAGAGTAGTTCTCATAATGCTTTTTTTTTTTTCTAAAGGCCTCAGAATTTTTGTCTTTTGTGCCTTTTTCAGACCATAAATTTTTCAGTTTAAAATTCTTTTTCTCTCTCTCCCCAACTTGACACGTACTTGCCAGCCTGCTCAGGAACAAATAGATGCTCTGCATAAATGTGTCATATGTAAAGTTTTTTCATTGCTTTATTTTATTTCATTTGTAGTTTCTCTAAGAAAGAAAGCTGCCATTTATTTCTGTAGCTGTTGTGTTATGAACTCATTATGGCATGCTTTTTGTATAGAACTTCTTGATGTTGACTTGATGTTGATGCCTGGAAATTGGCAAAGGGGGTGACCCTGCTTTATTTTTAAAACGGTGCACGTGTGAAACCCACCATGTCTCTATATGAGATCTATTCAGAGGTGCTTCAATTTCCTGTTGAGGCTTGAAGTGACAAGATGGAACAAAAAACCCCAAATAAACAAACAAACAAAACCAAACAAAAAAACCCACAACAACCAAGGGAAGAATTTAAAAAAAAAAAAAAGAAAAAGACTAACAAAAAAACTTTTGACAAAGTTTGTGTTACTTGTAGCAAATCTTGGATGACTTAAAGTCATGAAATATTAAAAGCAATGAAACTGGAAAGAAAACTCATCACTAAAGACCAGGAACAGCTTTAGTGAGCTAAGCAGCTGCTTTGGTATTTCATGCCTCTCATCAAACTAAGCAAAATTTCATTATGAAAAGTACCTGTTTACCTTGTATGCATTAAACAACAGCTGCCAAAGATGGCAAGTATTATATGTATACCTATATATGTACATAAAAAAATAGATCTCAAAACATTTGAATAAAAAGAACCATGCAAATCTGCTTTTCTGCTGAGTTCTATGCACTTTATTACGCATCCTTTTTCCAGATCCGTTAATGAATCTTGCATTCTTTCAGGGAGATGGATTTCATTGTTCTTTTTAGTTTTTGCATGTGACAGCTGTAAATGGCCACCCAAAAACTTTAGCTGAGAGATACCCTACCAGAGATTTAGTAAAAATACATTTTTTACCAAAATCCATTTCATGTCTGATATGAAGAGTCCTGGAAGCAAAGTCCTCCTAAAGTCATTGAATTTTAAGGTACTTAAGTTATTTGTATCACTTGCCATAATAGCAAGTGGGTTTTTTCCCTGTTTTGTTTTTTAATCTAAGCCTTTTTCTGTGTTTTCAGCTATTTCGTTTGAAGTTTATTTGCTTGCTGGACAGAGCTGAATTTTGAGTCAGGAACTGTGGACAGTATGTCAGAGGTAGTTAAGAGTCCTAGAATTATATTTTCTTGGTTAAGGAAAGAAACGGGAAAACAATGTCAGTTCCCTTCTGGCGAAAGATAATGATTTAGCTGGACTCTCAGCTGGTGTAGGAAATTGGTGATAAAGAACATTTGCTGTTGACTGTGCCAGGTAATTGTAGCCTTTAACTTGGAGTGGTCATTTACTGTAGCTGTTCACATCATTTTTGCTTCCAGAGTGTGTTACCTTGGGATTCTTTCTGCATGCTTGTCACTTGGAAGCCACAGCTAGACCAGAAGCGGCATTCTGCCTGCTTGGCGACAGTGTTAATAATCAGGCGTGCATCTGCACAGCATCTTTTACAGCAGCTGCCACCTCACTTCCAAAGGGACAATTTAAAATGCAGGTTTAAACTACTCCTGAAGCTGTAGATGGTGCAGAGCCTGTGCAGCAGGAAGCCTGCTTCTCCAGGTCTGGCTGCCATAGGCAGTGGAGATCAGCAGCTTCACTTAAGACAGCACCTACCGCATTCAGTTGGGAAGGGCCTACTGGCAAAGCTATTGGCTCTGATGCACCCAAGCTGGAACCTACTGACTCCTGTTGTCATTCTGCAGCGTATCTTTCTTTTGGCCAGTGGTGGAACTACTTTTTGATCAGGTATCAATCCTAATTTTTAAAACTTCACATGAACCTCCAAGTTATCCCTGGTTATAAAGACACTTCAGAAAACTCTGAAACTGTCATATACTAAAAAAGGAAATATCAGAACAAAATGGATCTTGAGACATATTGTGTGAATTTAGTGTTCTGCTTCTCTTGGGAGCACAACAGTGTTCTTTTAAGCTTGAAAAGAAACTGTGATACAGAAAATCTACCTGTTGTAATGTGAAGACAATATGATTTATTTTCAAGGCGTCTGCAATTTTGCAGGTAGCAATGTGCTAGGAGAGTTTTATAGGGTCCAGCTAATGATGGAGAAGTGCTAGATACCTTCCTTGCAGTTTCTTGCCACAAGGAACTGGAAGGAATGCTTTTGTTTAAGTGCTTTGTCCTGACTGGTGAAATGAAGGGTCTTGTTTCCTTACATTCTTTTGACCAGGACCTACCTCAGGAATTATTGCTATTTTGTTTGAATGTCTTGATCAATGATGGCTGTCTGGATTAGCTGATCAATGTCCAATCGTAACAATAATTCTTGAAGAAACTATATGAACTGGGAGATCTAGTTACTGAATTTTGTTGCTGCAGGATTTTTTTTCTCGTTTATAATCTGCAAAAGTTGGATAGAAGCCTCTCTTTGCACTTAATGCTAATTTAAAAGGAACTCATAATTCTCTTATTCGTTTTCCAACCCATCTTGGGTTTTGGGTTTTATGTTAGCTTTATGTAATAAATATTCATTTTCATTTTCTGCAGCATTGCATGCAAATTTATTAATTCAAGTTCATACTTCTAGGAAACAATATGTTATAACTTACACTGAATACAATGGAGATGAAAATCTCAGCAAAGAAAGTGTTTGGATTTTCTTTATCAAGAAAATGTTTGGAGAATGCCCCATTTTTTTTCAAAACTATGGAAAGCAAGTTCAGATCCTACGTCTGTTCCTGTTGATATGCAATCCTGCACAGTTCTGTGGTCCCCTGATGATATTCAGTGTACTGATCAATTCAAAGAAAACAATCCAGTTTTGCCCACTGACTGCATTTTTGGCCTTTAGGAATATTTTGTTCCCTAGCTCAAGCAGGGAGAGCACAGAGGTTAGTGTACTGGAAGTCTTTGGAGTGGAATGGCAGCATTACTGTTAAAATACCAGTTCATTTTTATTTGCAAACAAATCTTTGACTGTTCCCAGGAATGTTTCTCCTTCTGCTTGTATTGCCTTCACAGGAAAACAAATCATGCAAAGTAAGCACCATATCAATCATGCTGCTTATCTTTGTATTTTGAAATCTGGGTTTGGAAGATTCCTGAATTAGCATAGAAGTCCCTCAAAACACAGCCGTTTATTTTATCATGAAAAAAGCATCACAGTATTACCTGCATTGACCTCTTTCCAACCTGAGGGATAGAAATTGTCCTTGAGATAAATTTAAAAAAGACAAATGCATAAACTCTGTCACTTTCATTTCCAGAAGAAGTTGATATTGTCTCCTATGAAGATAGTTGAGTAGAGATCTGCTTCCTTCTACATGCATCCATTATTGATGGATGGAGGAAACAGTTGTATTAGCGTGATCCAAACCTCACTGTCACCAGAAACACTGAGCTTTTGCCTAAAATTGAAAAATTGTTTCTTTTAAATCCATATCTGAGATCATAAAAGATTGAGCTGTGCTGCATAAGTGCTTGGTATTGAATAAGGGTCTCACAGAACCACTGCACTGTCCAGTGGAGACAGCTTCAGTAGGACAGGGTCCTTACCATCCTTAAGATCTCTATAGGGCATTTCAGCCATGAAGGATAGACAGAGAGGTTTTTTCTCCTAATTCTACTGCCTTTCCAGTGTCCCACTGAATTTTGTACTGCACTGAACTGACTTAAGAAGTTAGAGTGAAATATGACTTTCCTGGCTTAGAAAAGTGATGTTAGCGAACTACTAATGACCATTCCTTGTCATGTGCCCTTTGACGTAAACTCATAGTGACTTTTTTTTTAAAAGTTGATCAACAGCTCTGTTGGCTGCCTACAGACAATTCTGCACTCTTACAAATGGCTCCCAGAACAAAGTTGACCTATAACCAGATTTATTTTCAAAAAAAAAGCTCAAAATTTGAAAAACGAATTTATATAAGGACGGGTATGAAGAATCATAGAATCATCCAGGTTGGAAAAGACCTCTGAGATCATCAAGTCCAACCCTTGATCCACTACCACTGCGGTTACTAGACCATGGCACTAAGTGCCACATCGAAAAACACAGAATAGATTTCAATATACTTTCTATTAGTATTATCCCTAAATAATTCACAGGCATGTTTTAATAGCTAGAGCAGTACCAGGAACATGAGATGAGAACATACCATGCAGACCATACCTTTAGCATCTTTTTGTAGAAACTTTATTCCCTGGAATAAAGTCCTCACAGCTGAAAGCAGTAACAGCAGTAATCATAAGGTGTTAGAAGGTCAGGAGACAGCTGTGTTCTTTGCCACTATGGAAGAACTCGGGAGGAAGTGGAGATCACCTGCATATGGATAGACCTGAGAAGGTAAGACCAGATACTGCTACCAGCAGTGACTCACTGACTCAGGAGATGAAACAGCAGGACTAACTGGAAGGTTTTCATTGCTTCCTTGTGGCCTGTGCTTCCTGAGCAGAACTGAGTCCCACAGTGGCAAACTTTCACTGTCTCTGCCCATGTTCCTTTCCAGGAGGACCTTTCTACCCCTTCTTCTGTTTGTGGTCCTTCATATTCCTGCTCATCCCCATTTGCCTAAGGCTACTTTTGTGGTAACCTTTGCTCCATGCCTCAGCAAGAGGAACGTGGCAGGACCATTGTCCTCCCCCTGCTACTCCAGTGTTTTTTCTTTTCCCCTTTCCCTAGCATGGAGGCTCCTCATTTGCGTTACCATTTGTGTAAGCCTCTTCTCCTTTTTAACTATCCCATGTAGCACATGTAGTTGAGACTTATGTCTTTGAAGAGGGGAAGTTACATCTCAGTAAGCAGAGAAGCATCTCAGAAACCAAACGGGTTGCTGACAGCAAAGAGGGAGTTGCAGGGCTGTCTGGCTGTGAGAGCACAGAGAGGCACTGGCAGAGGCAAAAGCAGCAGTGGGTGTGAGTCTGATGGGCAGAAACTGTTTGCCTGGCTGCTGCAAGCTGTTGAGTTTTGAGCCCAGAAGGGAAGGGGCTGTTGAGAAGGTGCAGATCTGGGTGAGAGGGTGGAGGCTATCAATATAAATCAGTAAGAGAGAGCATGCTGGAAGGCTGAAGCTCCCATTTGGTCTTAGCTGGTGTAAGATGGTCAGTTTGTGGAGGCTGTTCAGTCTAGTTTCCAGTTAGCTGGTTGTTAAAGGGACTCTGAGGGTTTTCTCCCTGCTCTGTCATGTGCTAAGGGGAAAACAAGGTTAGGCTGCACATGCATCCATGGGGCACAGTCCTACTGTGGTCTGTAAATGGCTTCTCATCACCTTTGCACAGATCTCAATTCAGAGATGATGCATGTCATACCAACCTTCCTAGGGTCTACCTATCCTTTAGGTTTAACAATCCAGGCTTTTTTCCTGAGGTCTTACGTAGCACAGTTGAAGTTAACAGGAGATAAGTAATATATAGTCTGCTGTGAATTGAACTTGGACTCTCACAGAAACCTGATATCTGCAGATTGAAAGAGTATCTGTCTGCCCTAACTCTTGGAAATCGGGGCATTTACAATCTGGCACCAAAGGCAAGACTCATACCGGTACCTTTGGTGCTTGTGAATTGTTTCTGGTGGTGTCTAAGGGTTTGTGTTATCAAAGAGTGGGAGCCTGTCTAGTTGCAGAGTATGTCGGAGTCCTGCAAAGGTTGTTAATAGTGCTATGCATCCTTCAGTATGTTGCTTTATGGCTTCTTTAATAAGTGGATAGGATTTTGCCTATGAGGGAC